TTTCTTTCTATCCGTCTTTTCCTCATCCCAGTCTTTCCCACAAACACACTTTCCCGGATCTCTTGTCTGCTTGATATTGCCTTCATCTTTCTGGCATCTATGTAAACACTCCCGCTTCCCTGCCTCCACCCTTCCTCCTCTAACCTATTTCGCTCTTTCCATTTCACACTCTCTCTGCATTTCATCAAAGAAGGATATAATCTCCTTAGACACTGAGACATCCAGTGACATTAAAAACTTCAAGCCGCGACTCTCGTCCTCTTGTAGACGCTCACACATTTTGCTTGACTTTATTTCTCCATGTTATAACAGCACAACTTGAGTCAAACACTTCAGTACTTTGGAAAACTGTTTAAATATTTTGAGCTAAACTGTAATTTACAAGCAGTACATGCAAACAGTGTTTGGTGTGGTGAGCCAATCAGGATTATAGGTTCTTTAAAGGACAGTTCACCCAAAAAGGAAATTCTGTCCTATTTACTTCAAACTTATATACGGACCGAAATTTTAATTGTTTAATCACTAACTATTTATCCTCCAGTGAGCAGTAAACCGTTGCAACCAACATTATTTAGTTAGCGAAATTAACTTGAGAATTGCATTACACCAATTTGTGATTTAATTATTTAGACCAGTTTGTGACCCGGACCAACGGATTAATTGAATGGATCTGCTTAAAAAAAAAAAAATTCATTCATGAAATGTCAAAATTTTCAATGAATAAGAAATATGAATAAGAAATATGTTGTTAATTCTGGAATTTTGTTTTGCTACTCTGTAAAAATGTTTGTAAATTTTACTGAAAAGAAAAACTATATTACATATATGCTGCAGCAAATACCTGTTTATTAGTTAAAAGTTGTGAAAAGCTGTAAAATCGTTTAACATCAGATTATGTGTAATTTTACTGTGATATATAGTTAAATGTCTGTTTTTTGCAAGTAAAATGATAAATTACCATATAATTTACAATAAAAACAAACCAAAAAAATCTAAAAGAACATGCAGAAATCCCTGTGTGACACATCACTATAATTCAATTTTATTTAAATAGTTTTGTTTCTTCTCATTTTTGTTGTCAATAATGTACATTCGAGTTTGTGTTCAATTGGATGTTATTTAATTAACACATTATTTTAGTGTTATGTCTGTTACCCTGACTGTGTTTTGTCTTTGTATGTATGACTCTGTGCACCATCTATAAATTATTTTCCATGTAATTGGACAATATTTCAGCAGTGTCCTTGTTTTATGGACAGGCCACTTAAGATGAAAATCATACAGTTTTCTGTTTTACCACCTTTATTATTATGGTGATTATCAGAACATTTTAAGGTGGAAAGGAGATTTGGTATAGTTTAAATATATAAAGAATGCAGCATGAAATATATGGTTATAAGTTATAAAATGTACAAGCACCAATATACCATCCCGGAATACCTGAGTCATGTCACCGTAATTTTTACAGTGAATAAGGTGTAGTTGAGTCTAAATAACGTCTTGTTTCTGTCTGTGTGTGTGTGTGAGAGAGAGAGAGAGAGACAGAAGTGGGGGATGGATGGTATATTTTACAAGAAATGCTTATCAGCATGAAAGGTATGACTTTTAAGGGGATGACATTATGATCTAACGTCTCTCTTTCTCCCCTCCCCCATTCATTTTATCTTCTGTGCTTTTATTCTTTCCCATTACTGACTCCTCCTTACCAGCCTCCAGCAGCCTCACCCCTCACCCCATCTCTCTCTCCTGCTCACTCTCTGCTGAATCATTTCCTCTTCTCTGTGTAATTTTCTTTCACTCAATTTAAATCGACTTCAGAGTGACTTGCTGCCAAGACTGTTTTCATGCACTTTATAGCCAAAACATTTTTAATGCATGCAAGAGAAAATCATTTAGAAAATGGAAAGGCAACTGTGAAAATGTCATCAATGTTGTGTAAACAGCATGGATATACTGAATAACATGATTCAGAATTGCTTGGACTGGTGTTAGTGGTACTGGAGTATTAAAGATCTTCAAACAGAAACAGCACTCCTGCATGCTTCAGTGATCACTTTAATGATAATAGTACCGTACAATGGTGTGTATTTTCGGACTCACAGCCCAAAAAGTGGTAAATGGTCCAAATTCACAACAAGTGGCTGTAATATTTAAACGCAAACAAATATGAATGTGTACAGCTGGATGTCAGGAGGCTAGTCAAGAACTTGTCTGGGTCATAATTTACCCCCAAAAGTAAATATTTTATCCTCTCAAAGGAAAAGCAAGGCCAGTTTTAGGACCATTTAGATATTTTGGCAATGACATTTTATTTCAATATAGGCCTAACTTATGCATCATAATAGTGTTTGGATTAAATGTATGCTAATTTAAATTTAAAAATGTATTACAGTAAATAAATTATTGTATTGAAGTATTTAAGGGATAGTCCACCCAAAAAATTGTCATCATTTACTCACCCTCATGGTGTCCCAAACTTATATCCATTTTCTTCTTTTGCACAATAAAAAAGAAGATATTTTGAAGAATCTTGGTAGCCAAACAATTTTAGTTTTCTTGTCTATATAATGGAAGTCAGTTAGTTACTAATATTTTTCAAAATATCTTCATTTGTGTTTTACATAAGAAAGTAAAGCACTGGCTGTTGTCAGACTTCTTGTGCAAACAAAAATCTCACTGGATTATTACAATTAATGGCAAAATGAATGTTCGGAAATGTAAACTGATATTTCCCACTGACACACTACATCGAAAGATAGAAATAACTGACTTAAAACCATTTTTTTACTCACATGAAGGTGAGTAGATAATGGCAGAATTTTCATTTTTGGGTGGACTATCTATTTAAAGCACAGTCATATTAGCAAAGTTTTGCTGACAAAACAGTTGATTGCCCACTGTCAATAGTGTAGTAATGCGCAAAGCACCGCTCACAAAGAAGTCACTTTAAAACCAAAGAGCTTTAAGTTGGTCAATGTGGCAAATTTAAATGAAAAACTTTTTCAATGCTGAATCTGTGCTGGGAAATGTTTTGCTCTTTTTTTCACATTTTTTCAATCGCATGGATTCCTATCGAATTTACTAGATTTTGCCTGTGAAATTTCATTGTGCAACAGTAAATGTGAATGTATCTTTACACTAATAAGCATCTTGAGAATCACCATTTAGAAAGAATGCTCGCAAAGCAAAAGGTCTGATCAGTTGGTAGCGTGTTTGTTCACAACACCATGAAAATAATAACATGTTTAAAAAAAAGTTTTAAAAATCAACTTAGTTTTCTGTATACAAAACCTAATGTCTTCTTTTGATTTTGGGGTGAAATGTAACCTGGGCATGTTTTCATTAGGTTCACTTACACAATATCTGTTGAATCTTTTTTTCTTCCTTTATCCCTCTGTCTTTCCAGCATGCTCTCTTTTCAGCTCTAAACTTTCTGTGTGTATTTCCTAAGTTGTATGTACTGAGTGCATCTGTGCGTGTATGAGCATAAGTATGTGTGCATTTAATGGACACATGATTCACTCCGCAGCATGTTGCTAATTTCACAGTCAGTGAGCTGTAGATGATATCACAGGCTGCACTGACACCAACCTGACTCATTTCACATGTTCAGATGGACCTCTGGAGGAGTACAACTCGCACAGATACTATTAAAGTGTTTCAGATTGCAGTAGAGTAAAACATAGGCTATGTGACAGAAGCTGAAGTGATGTTGTGACTGAGCTGTCAGCCATGTTCTTATCACTTAACTTAAACTAAAGTGATTTGACTGCTTTTACACATACTGTGATACAGGACAAGGCTTGTAGTTTTCAAGTTTATTGTTGCTCTCTAACTCACTTCATCTTCCTTTGTCTCTGTCTGTTTCTCAGATGGCATTCACAGCATCAGTGCTCAGTGTGTGTTGCGGGTTCTCATCATTACGGAGGAGATGCTCAGCAGCAGCATCACTGTACGACTCCAGAACATGTCCCAGGAGCACTTCCTGTCCCCGCTGCTCACTCACTTCCTGGAAGGGGTGTCAGCCGTGCTTTCAGTCTCTCCTGATGATGTGTTTGTGTTCAACGTGCAGCCGGATGCAGATGCAGGAAAGGTGCTCAACGTTAGTTTCTCCGCTGCATTGCCGGGAGGGCAGTTTTTCCCATCGGAGGCTCTGGAGGAGCAGCTGTACCTCAACAGACATAGACTCAATGCCCTTGCACATATGGAGGTAAAACACATATACACACACTCAGTTGCCTCGTGAAGATCATTAGATACAGTAAGAATATATCAAATCTAATAGAAATGTCAAATATTGATAGTTTTGATGTTTTGTAAAATAAAACAATGGCATTCATACATTCTAAAGTGTCGTTTAAGTGTTTTTAAGCACGATGAGAACCATTAAAATGAAATAAATCAATCAATTATCATTTAATTTAAAAAAAATAAAAATTTAAATGAATAAAACAATAAACTTATACTAGCGTTCAAAGTTTTGGGTCAGTGAGATTTTTTTTTAAAGATGTTTTTGAAAGAAGTCTCTTATGCTGGCCAAACAGTAAAACAGTAGTATTGTGAAATATTATTGCAGTTTAAAATAACTGTCTTCTGTTTTAATATATTTTAAAATATTGTAATTTTATTCTTGTGATGTCAAAGCTGAATTTTCGCAGTCATTTTTTCAGTCTTCATTGTCACATGATCCTTCAGAAATCAGTCTAACATGCTGATTTGCTGCTCAAGTAACATTTCTTATTATTATTATCAATGTTGAAAACAGTTGTGCAGCATAATATTTTGGTGGAAACCATAATATGTTTTCTTGCAGGATTATTTGGTTAATAGAAAGTTGAAAATAAATATTTTGTAACATTATAAATGTCCTTTTTTTGTCAAAAAAACAACAACAACAAAAACTTGCTGACCCCAAATATCCTTAATAAACTTCTCAAATGGAGAAAATAAAAAGATGCATTTAATGCTATTTATTCAATTCACATTTAAAATGTAATTAAAGGAAATAAGATATAAGAAATTATTAAAACATTTAAATACATTTTTATTGCATTTATAAACTGAAAAACACATAAATGTATCAATTAAATAAAAGCAGTCTCGTAGTCCTCCGTACTTGTTTTGGTGTATTGCATATTCAAATATTCATACAGCAAAATATACTGGAGGCCATCAAATTTTAGAGCACACACAAACATACAGACACACTCACACTTCTCTGACGCTGTATTTTGTATTCCGGCAGGTTCTCCCATTTGATGATAACGTGTGTTTACGTGAACCATGTCAGAACTACATGAAATGCATCAGCGTTCTCCGCTTCAACAGCTCCGCTCCCTTTATCGCCTCCCCATCCACGCTGTTCCGGCCCATCCATCCCATCACAGGGCTGCGCTGCCGCTGCCCTGCCGGATTTACGGGAGATTACTGCGAGATTGAAATTAACCTGTGTTACTCAAACCCCTGCATGAATGGAGGAGTGTGCGCTCGCAGAGAGGGAGGCTACACCTGCATCTGCCGAGAGGATTACACAGGTGAGAGTGCGATTGTGTATTTCAGGAAGAGATGTGTTATTGTGTCTTTCTAGATGAGGGGAAGTCTTGCAAGGACTTGCAAAAGAACATCTGGGGCACTTTGCAGTTTATTCTGGCCAAGAATCGCCCACTTATGGCTGGTTCACACTGCCAAAACAAGCGGCAACATTTCAAATGTGTACTAAAGTTGGCTGTTGGATGTACAGTAGAATGATGAAAATAAAAACTGTCATGTTCATGCTGCCCAACACAACACGGCAACAAACAGGTTGACACACTGATCCAACAAACCCAAAAACCCTTGGCATTTGATGTTTTTTGTGTGGTTAGACAGAACAGCACAGAATGTCTTTTGAAGATTTGATGCTAGGAGTTAGACTGGTTATAGATACAGATTCCCAATTCAGTTCACAAACTGTCATAAATTTGATTTGATTGGATTCATTTCTGATTCAGTTTTGAATGTCTCTCTTTTTCTCATTTTTTTTTTATCTCTCAGCTAATGCTATAAATTATTTGAGGATCCTTCTTGCTTGGTACATTACAAAAATGTGAATTTAATGTAATAATTTTTTGTCAAACTGTCAAATATAAAAATCTATAATCAAAAACCGCTCTGTGGATACCAACTGTATGGATATAAACTTTAAATTGTGTTTCTTATGAAAAAATTTTCTTATGTGTAAAATTATTAAAAATTGAGTGGCACATGGGTTGCTCTTAAGCCTGAGTCAAAAGTTGGTTTGTTGCCCCCATGATTGAACTTCCAAACGTTTTTTTTCTTACTTTATTGGCAAATAGATAAAGAAAAGCATTTGACAAAACAACAAAGAAAAGCAATCAGCAAATGGACAAAGAAAAGCAAATGGCTGTAAATGTGTCCATTTTTTTTTTCAATTTAAACATGATTTATTAATTTATTATTTATCTACATTTTAAAGCATTTCATTTCTTTTCATGTTTAAAGGAGTAATTTCTTATTTCTTAATATCTAAATTATCACTCCTAGTCCTCCATGCATTTGGACTCCAAATATGGGTAAAATAGACTGACCTAAAAACAGACTTGCTAAAAAAAAAATAGTCTTGCTGTGAACAATCAATTTCGGGATTTTTAGACTCAATATTAAGATCTTTCAAAGGAATATCACAAGTAATGGGAAAATCAATATTTTAACCCAGCTCTGGCTATAAGCGTCTTTGGTGTCTCCAAATCCAGTTCTAGTTCTTCCAAAAAAGCACTTGAAAATTATGCAGCATCTTGCCAATCAAACGATGCCAGTTTTCTGTGCAATATGCATCAGATGGCCAGTGAAGGAGCTGTGAGCGATCTGTGGGCGCACCATCTGATGCTGAGACTAACTGCTAACCTGTTTGTTTTTCAGTGTATATGTGTGGCCATGGGAGTTAAACAGACCTAGACTCTCAGCAGTGAAGTCAGTCTGAAGTTAAATGAGCAACTCTTAGTAATACAAGCGCCGCAGTATGAGAGCAAGTGAAAGAGAGAAAAAGAAATCCAACGGAAGGATGAAAGCAGGGGCAGATTCAGGATCCCCCGAGGGCCGTACCATGTGTGTGGTGGGGGTTGGGTAGAGAGGGTGGTTTAGCCCAAGAGGAGAAGAATAGCTTTGATGAATTAAACATCATTTGAACGAAGGGGAGAGAATACATTACCAAATATTCTGAGGGGATGGAGTGGATAGGTACCGGGGAGGAGAGTGAAACAGAAAAAGAGGGGAAGAAAGAGGGAAAAGTGCTCTTAAAAGCAAGTCAGGAAGTGAACAGCTGGAAAAGAGAAAGAGCGAGCACCTGACACAAATATAAAAGGACAAAAGTATCTAGAGACTGAAGATAGAGAGACTAAAGATGGAGAGATATTTGCAGAGAGGGTTTTAAAGCCTTTCCCTGCTGGATTTTAAGTGAGTCAACTGAGAATCAATGGAGATTTGTTTAAGTGTGTAAGTGTGTGTATTTGAGAGCATGTGTGTACCTAAAAGCTCATCTTTTGTCCATGTAGATAACTGAGCTTGAATGCTTATGTAGGTGAACATCTCTGTGTGCCATCACTTGTATTTGTTGTGGATATGTGAAGACAGTTCTATTTTTCTTAGTTTGTTTTTGGACTTTTAAGATGAAAACTTTTATACCTCAATGAACACAGAGGGGCTGCTTGTATTTTTGAGTTTCAGCATGCTGTGTTTATGTTCGTGTTGTTTGTGTGTGTGTTTCTGGCAGGTCTGGTTGAGGAGTTTAAAGAAATTGCTGTAGGTTTCTGAATGTGTGTCAGTGCGTGCACTGAGAGCAGGAGCAGTCAGTGTGAAATGTTTTCTCAGAATTGCTTGTGTTCATGTCAGACAGTTCATATGGCTTAACAAGGGCCAGGGGCATACACTTTGAAATGGGATTATGAGACTTATATTTATTAATAATAATAAAACCTCCTAAAAGCCATTTAATTAAATTGAAATGATACATCTTGCAAAATTGGAACACCATTATACAGTCAGCACCACTACTGACAAGAAACCATGTAATTATGCAGAATATACATACATTCTCCCCACAAAAATGTTTTTAGATCTATAGATAAGTTTGTCACGAGAATATTCAGTTGCTATGGAATGTTGGATGGTTGTTAGCAGTGTTCATTTTGACAGCAAATTTTGATTTCATTTTGACTTAGACTTAAATGCCATTTAGTTTGTCATATTTTAGTAATCTGAATGGTTTTAGTTTAGTTTCAGTTGACTAAATATAATCAGATTTTAGTGGAATAAATCTACAGTAGATCTACAATCTAATGGGTTTAGTTAAATTTAACTAAATTTAACTAAACCCATTAGATTGTAGATTTAATATTGCAATTTAACTTAAATTATAATGCAGTCTTTAGCCCAAGTGGACATTGGTCAGATAGTTTGATGCCTCCTTAGAAAGTAAATTAATTTATCAAAGGAATTAGTTATTCCTTATGAAGAAAGTCCTGTTTAATTTATGATTTTAGTTAGAAAAATTCAGTTCACTTGGTATTCAGAGGCCTGTGACCTGCTTATATATATTTTTATTCTGGGCACAGCAACTTATTTTATATGGCTTTTGAATATTCAGTCTGGTGCTGTCAAGAGGAAAGTGCGCTAAAATCCTTTTCCCTTTGCAGGTGATATGTTTGTAAGCTATGATGAATATGCTAATACCTCTCGTTGAATATGCAAATAATTCTCAGTTTAAGTAGCCAGTAGGATTAAGGCTGGACTGAGCTTCTCTAAATCCATGAGTCCATGTGTCTTGAGGGTTTTGGTGTGTGTGTGTGTGTGTGTGTGTGTGTATCTGTGGCTGGTTTGCAGTGAGCAGTTACTATCGTGTAAACATTAATGATTTGTTTGCCTGTGGTGTCTGTCTGTCCATACGTGTGTCCTAAGGCATTTGGTTGTGTGTCTATATGTATTTCTGTGGTGGTGGGTCAAAGTTGGAAGTGCTTTTAAAGGCAGTATTTTCACACTCCCACTAAAGGGAGACGGAGATGTCTACATGTGTGTCTATGCCAGAGGTTTGTACACGCATGCACATTAATGTGCTTTATTTAACCGTTGCCAGAGGCTCACCAACACAATGCTGGAACATCACAGCGCCAGAATCTGGCTCACATTTGGCTCAGCATCATAAAGCCTAAGGGCAGGATCTACTGATGTTTCAAAACCCAAACAACAAGCTGCTTTATGTAGTGTGTGTGTGTGTGTGTGTGGGTGTGTATGTGTGTGTCTGTTATTGGTCCACTGGGACATTCCCGTCTACAGGTTTTTACAGAGCTTCTACACATCGCTAACAAAGTATGTGTGTGCATAAGCTAGACCCCTGCTGATACAGTGATGGTACAATTTATAGGATTTTTATCCAAATGTTCCTGATTAAAATACAGTCATTAATGTTCATTGACTCCCTCTGCCAATGCATTGATGAAATTAACAGTTGGATGTGCCAAAATTTAATAATCATTTTTTTAATGATTATTTTACTTTCTTTTATGTAAAGCACTTTGATTTACCATTGTGTACGAAATGTGCTATATAATAAACTATGTGCTATATAAATAAACTTGCCTTGTCTAGCTCTTCATATTCTACATAAAGCTGTGTGAAATTATACTTGGATTCAGTAAAAATAGAACTTAGAAAAAATTGCTGTGGTTTGGTCCCATTCACTCTCTATTCCCAGCATGCACTAGGGCATGAATAATTATTAGGTTTGCATTTTGGAATGTTTGCTAGTTTTATGTAAATTTTTGTTGCTGCTTTTGTTGTCATTTAGTAACTTGTATTTCTCAACCTGTAAAATAATTTGACTGTGGTCTGAATAAAATAATATCTGACTGTGAGCTTGCATTGTGAGAAAGGGGTTTAAGCAAAGAAGTCCAAGATCAGAGGATTCCATAGATTTCAGTTTCATGCCGACTTGAACAGCTTAACTTTATAAATCATTTTGAATTTAATCAAAATAGGAAATTGTTAACAATTTGACAGATTTTGAGTCATGACAACATGACATTTTAGATTCAGTCAAAGCATTTACTCAGAAATAGGAACTCACTGATATTAAAATTCTAGTCAATACCAAGAAGCCTTGAATTATTTTCATGTTATGACTGATAACTGATAAATGTCTGATAGTAAAATTCAAAAGTGTTTGTCTAAATAAAAAAATAAAAAAACACATTTTAAATGTTGTAAGTGAATTTAGTAATCAAGTTTTAATGTACATTATGAAAAATTGATATTTCTTTTGAGATTTGCTGATGCATGCAGTGAAGTACAATTTTCACCTTTAATGGAGTACGATTGAATTGAAGTGTATATGAACGTGTGCATGTGTATTTGTTTTGTCATGTGTATGTGTATTTTAAATGTCCTTTTTTCTCTGTCCGTCTCAGGCGAACGGTGTGAGTTTGACCGGCGTGGTGGCCGGTGTGTGGCAGGCGTTTGTCGTAACGGCGGTACATGTCTTGAGCTCTCCGGAGGGGGATTCAGGTGTGAGTGTCCTGCAGGAGGTTATGAGAAGCCATATTGCTCTGTCACCACCAGATCCTTCCCGCCAAAATCATTCATGATGTTCAGGGGGCTCCGTCAACGATTCCACCTCTCCATCTCTCTCTCGTGAGTACACACCTGTTATCTGATCTTATTCTTAGGTCATGTCAAGGCCAAAATTATGACAGAAATGACCATTTAGGATTAGATTTAGGATTTTAAGAGTTTTTTCTCTCTCTCAGATAGTAGAAATTATTTTAAAATAGTAATAATATAAAATATTACCCACTCTCACTCACACTTTGAAATATTTTATAATGTGTAAATATCATAAATCAAATTTTCTCCTCCGTGATCATTTTCTTATATTCTCTCCTCTTCCTTTCATGCTCTCTCATAAGAAAAGCTCCTTAGCACTCTCTTTCTCTTTCTCTCTCATCCTGTTTTGTTTTCTTCCACTTCCCCTTGTGAGTGCTATTTTCTGGTCATGTGTTTGATGCGATTGGTCAGGGTTTGGTTGCCGTGGCACAGAGGTAATATAATGGTTGTTTGTTGTAATCTCCAGGGCGACTAAAACAGAGCTATTTTATTTATTAACATGGTCAAATATCAACACATCCAGAAAGGGCACAGCCTTCTCTCATCTCCCTAGACACGCCAGAATATTAAATCCTACTCTTTCTCTCGGTTAAAGTCTTGTCTCTCTGCGCGAAAGATAACCATTGTGCTACAGTGTGCAATTTACAGACTGACCATGTCCTATAAAAAACTCTTTTAAATCTAAAAGTCTTTGCTCAGTGGAGCGTAAACAAGGTCCATCTCTCTCACAGCTCAGGCCTTTTGTCAGTGTTTTGTCTGGACCAAAGTAAAAGATTTTTTAAAGTGAGTCTCCAGAGAGGACATCCAGAGGCATGCCAGCTATAAATGTATGTTGCAAAAAGAAAGATTGTTATTCTGGCTTTCATCTTATATGCATCTTAAGAGGGTGCTTTGCTGCTGAAATGTGGAAAGTTCATAATTTAATGAAAGATTTATATGAATAATAACTTACTCTACAGAAATGTGGAGTACACATATAAGAACCCATCAATATTACTATGAGTGTGCATACTTTTTGACTTTGAAAGTTTTAATGGATACTGTTTGCTGAACCCTTGCTATGAAAACGTCCCAGGTTGACTGGAAATCGATCGGAATTACTTTAGAGATCATTTTATGCTGAGTGTACTCTTCTTCTCAGTTTGCGGACATCACATTATACTCTAACTCTAAATGGACCTGTTCTGAGTCATTCCAGATCTTTGATGAGAATTAAATGTGTTTTGTAGGTTTGCCACATTGGAAAGTAATGGTTTGCTCTTCTACAACGGTCGGTTTAATGAGAAGCATGACTTCCTTGCTTTGGAGATACTGAACGGACAAATGGTTCTTAAATACTCCACAGGTAAAAAAAAAAAAAAAGAGGGAATTTTTGTGTTCAGAAAGTTGAAATAAATCTTGGACAAATCTATGGTTCTACAATGTAATGGGTAATTCTGATAATTCAGTTTATGTTGTGGTGTAAATTTTGTCTCTGTAATGTCGACTTCTGATCTCTGTGTGACCTTTGCACAGGTGAGTCGTCTACTCAGGTGAGTCCATACCTGCCTGGCGGAGTAAGTGACGGCAACTGGCACACCGTTCACATCCATTACTACAACAAGGTGAGCAAGTCCTCTGAAGAAGCAGTTTGCATCCTAATTTGCTAGCAGTTGTTTTCATGAATTCAGAATGTAGTCTTGTGCTTTTGTGTTTGTGTACTTATTTGTGCTCGTATCTAGCCAAAGCGCAGTGTGAGTGGTGACGTTCAGGGTCCGTCTGATGAGAAGGTTGCAGTCTTGAGCGTAGATGACTGTGACACAGCTGTTTCTCTGAGGTTTGGCATTCAGCTCGGCAACTACAGCTGTGCTGCACAGGGAAGACAGACCAGCAGCAAAAAGTGAGCATCCACAACCTAATATATACACCTTTATATGTTCACACACATGTGAAAAGTGTTGATTTTGCTCAGGAGATCAAATTTTGTCATTCTTTCCTTCTGTATTTTTTTCTCACAGGTCTCTGGATCTGACAGGCCCGTTGTTTTTGGGTGGAGTTCCTAACCTGCCTGAGAACTTCCCGTTTACTACAAGAGAATTTATTGGCTGCATGAAAGACCTGCATATTGATAACAGACCAGTGGACATGGCAGGATTCATCGCTAATAATGGCACTTTACCTGGTGTGTGTGATTGTTTACAGTGTGATGATAGTCACGTCCTGTATTTGTGATTGACTCAGATGATTTCAACATACACTGCCATTCAAAAGTTTGGAAGTCTGAAAGAAATTAATCAAAAATCATTAATCAAAAGTGACATTTAACAAAAAAACATGATGGAATGATGATCTTTCAAAATTCCTATTCATCCAAAAATCACAGTTTCCTCAAAAATATTAAGCAGAACAACTGTTTTAAACATTTATAATAAGAAGAAATATCTCATGAGCAGCAAATCAGCATATTAGAATGATTTCTGAAGGATCATGTGACACTGAAGACTGGAATAATGGCTGCTGAAAATTCAGCTTTGCTATAACAGGAATAAATTCTATTTTAAAAAACAGTTGTGCTCATACGTTTACAAATATATGCAAATATGTTAATAATTTTAACAAAATAAGAGCACTCATGAAAATTGCATGTTATTTTTTTAGTACTGTCCTGAATAAGCTATTTCACATAACAGATGTTTATATATACTCCACAAGAAAAAATAATAACTGAATTTATAAAAATGACCCCGTTCAAAATTTTACATACCCTTGAATCTTAATACTTTGTGTCGTTTCCTGGTTGATCCACGACTGTTTTTCTGTTTTATGATCGTTGTTCATGAATCCTACGTTGGTCCTGAGCAGTTCAACTGCCTGCTGTTCTTCAGAAAAATCCCCCAGCTCCTGCACAGTTCCAGCATCTTCTGCATATTTGAACCTTTTTCAAAAGTGACTATGATTTGAGATCCATCTTTTCACACTGAAGACAACTGAGGGACTCATATGCAACTATTACAGAAGGTTCAAATGCTCACCAATGCTCCAGAAACCATGCATTAAGAGCCTTTTGTAGCCTCTGAAGGGCAGTAGTAGTACTATATGAAAAAATATGATATTTAGGCAAAATAAGAAAAATGTACACATATCCATTCTGTTCAAAAGTTCTGTTCAAAAGCTCTTAATGCATGTTTTTTCCTTCTGGAGCATCGGTGAGCATTTGAACCTTCTGTAATAGTTGCATATTGAACTGCTCAGGACTCATGAGCAACGATCACAAAACAGAAAAACAGTCGTGGGTCATCCAGGAAATGACACACAGTATTAAGATTCAAGGGTATGTAAACTTTTGAACAGGGTCATTTTTATAAATTCAGCTGTTTTTTTTTTTTTGCGGAGTATATATAAACATCTGTTATGTGAAACAGCTTATTCAGGACAGTACTAAATAAAAATAACATGCAATTCTCATGAGCTCTCTTATTTTGTTAAAATTATCAACGTATTTGCATATTCTGCAAGGGGTATGTAAACTTATGAGCACAACTGTATATACATTTTAAATGGTTAAAATAGATCACAATTTTACTGTTTTTACTGTATCTTTAATCAAATAAATGGTGAGCATAAGAGACTTTAAGAGAGCATAAGAGAGTTTTTAAAAAAGTCTTAACGACTCCAAACTTTTGAATGGTAGTGTAATGTATACTCATTTTGAGAGCATTTGTGGTTATTCTTGGCCTATTATTGGCTGTTATTATGGGGATTGTGATGTTTCTGTGATTGGCTGCAGCAGTTGTAAGGTAATGCTCTGTGTCTGTATTAGGTTGCAGTGCCAAACTGCCTTTCTGTAAATCAAACCCGTGCCAGAATGGCGGCACATGTAGGGTGAGCTGGGAGACGTTTTCCTGTGACTGCCCTGTTGGATTTGGAGGGAAGGACTGCAGCTTAGGTGAGACCCACATAAAAATACAAAACTCATAAATACATAAAATATTTCTCTGTTGATCTTTAAGTGAATATTAAATCAGAATGCCAGTATCAAACAGGAACTATTACTAAATGTTAATGTCATGATGACATCACTGATGACGGTATTGTTGGAATGATTCTTTCACAGTGATGTCCCACCCCCATCGTTTCCTTGGAAACAGTGCGCTGTGGTGGGACCTGAAGAATGAAGTCACCATCACTACACCCTGGTACATGGGGCTGGTGTTCCGCACCAGATCAAAAGAGGGGGTTCTCCTGCAGGCTCAAGCTGGACAGTACACCAACTTGATCTTTCAGGTATACACACTTACAAACACAATGAGTGACATGTTACACACAGTAATACACACAGAAAGGAAAAGAAATCACTAGAAAAAGTTCAGCCCTTTCATATTTGTAGTCTATGTTTCATCTGATTACTAATAGAAATAAATTTAAATTGACATTTTGAATTATTTGACTTAATTTCTTGTTCTAATGTATTTATTTATTTGTTTGTTTATTTATTTATTTTCTGTAGCCAATAAGGTGAAATGTTTGGCCAGCAAAGCAAAATTAATTTTGATAATTTTTAAATTTATGTTTACATAAGGTTTAAATTTGATAAAATTGTATTTACATTTTAATTGAATGTCAAGATTTACTGATTTTTAAAATGTTTTACTAGATAATCTAAATGGTGGAAAGAGGAAGTTATTTCATTTTTTTATTTTAATTACAGTTGTTTCAGTTGTAGTTTCTAAATTTTTCATAACTATTTGATCTTTATTTAAATAAAACATGACAGACATTTTCATTAAAGGCAAGTAGAATCAAAGGATTGAAACCAAGTTTTTCCTCCTGTGTAAAAGCTGTACTGTTCTAGTGCTCTCTGGCATTAAGGATAAACCTGGGCTTGTTTGCCTTCAAATATTCCAAGAAATGTTTTAAATCATTAAGAACCTGATGAAAGGAAACCATGATCTCTTTTGGAGTAGAAAACAAACATTTTCACTAGAAGCACAGTGTAAATTAAATAAAACTAGCTTGACGTCCCATAGCACTTTGAAGTAGACAATTCTGCGCTGAACTCCAGATGCTTAGATGATCAAGTATAGCTCTCATATCCTAAATATTCATTGAAATTGAGAAATGGTTAATTATTAAAAACCCTGGTGTGTATGTTTCTGATTCCAGGTGGTTTCGGGTCATTTGGTGTTTTCTGTGGCACGGGGTTCGACTCGGCCGGTCAGGTTGAGACTGGATCAGGTTCAGGTGTGTGATGGACGCTGGCATGACCTACAGCTCGAGCTCCGTGATGTCAGGAGTGGCAGAGAGACTCGATATATTGCTACAGTCCGACTGGACTTTGGACTGTATCAGGTACACACAAACACATACACTCACACATAAGTGGTCCTCTAACCCCTATTATGTCGCTGACTAACTGTTATAATCCCGTGTTGTAATCCATAATCTGGAATATTGGAATATCAAATCCTAATCTTTCTGGATTAAACTACAAATCAAACACAGATCACTGGTTTAGTGATTAAACACTGACTTACATGCAATATAACTTAAATCAACTAATATAACCTCACTTTCTCTCCATCTATTTCTCTGCCTCTCTTTAAATCTCTCTGTCTCACACAGGGAACAGTCATTGTTGGGAATGAGATTAATGGTGTAAAGGTGAAGCACCTACATGTAGGTGGAGTTTTAGGGTCAGGAGAGGTGCAAAATGGTATACGTGGCTGCATTCAGGTGCGTCTATGTAACTCTCAGTCATTTTTGCGTTCTCTTTTTATAATAACCTGATATGATCTCAACTGTGCTCACCACACTTCTGCAGCCTTGTGTTATGTATGAATTATTGGTAGTTTTGAATTCCTAATGGTGTCATTAGTTTTTAGCAAGCAGACAATTAGTTGAATAATTAATGAGAACTTAGAGAACATACATAATATAAAAGTTCCTTCAAATGTGCAGTCAGCAAAGCATTTACTAACTAAATTCCCAATTCTAGTAATTACTTCTATTTAATTTATTAGACTATTTAAAATTTATTTTATTATTATTAATTGTATTTGTCGATTTTTTAGTATTTTAATTTAATCATTTATTTTTTGGGTATTTTTAAAGAAGTCTATGATGCTCAGCAAGGCTTTTGATTTTTTTTATGTGTGCATACTATATATATATATATATATATATATGTTCTATGTTCTGGTATGTGTCCTCAGGGGGTGCGTCTGGGGGTGCGTCCTGATTCCCCTGCATTGCCCCGCCCTTCCAGAACAATCAAGGTGGAGACTGGCTGTAATGTTGGCAACCTGTGTAACTCCTCCCCTTGTCCCGTCCATAGCCAATGCACTGATGAATGGGATCGACACACCTGTGTTTGTGAACCAGGTAAGATTTCCCTTGTCCCGCCCACAGCCAATGCACCGATGAATGGGATCGACACACCTGTGTTTGTGAACCAGGTAAGATGTGAATTATGATTGATGGATACAAAATGTACAGAATCAAAATGCTTTGTATACATACAATGGGGTTTAAAATTTTAGAAGTCTATGTGAAGATCGATGTTGCATTTTTCTAATTTAATGCATTTTTCATCATAATTTATATTATCAGAATAAAAATATTAATGAAAAGTTGAATTGAAAATTTCAGTGTTAGGTGTGCTTTAATGGCATCACCTCTCGAGCTGCATGAACTCTACAAATTTGTGTAAAATTGATAATCATGTTCTCCAGCATGAGTTAAGAAAGATCCAAAGAGCAGCTTTAGTGAAATAAGAACATCTTACCGTCAGCACAAAGGAGTTCACATGCTCAATCACAAATTTCCTTTTTTTATTATACTTAGAAGCACAAAATTGTACTTTCTTCTTTCTTTTTGTTTTAAAACATTCAGTATACTAAAATGTTATTTCTAAATTAATTTTATTTCTAAATTAGTTATTTAATCCCACATATATTTTTTCAGTTTTCAGTGTGGTGTCAGACGTCTGTACAGTCTATATGTGTATTTATAAAAATACATAGAGCATGTCAGTGGTTTCTGTTAACAGCATGACAGTTCACCCACACAGAGTACATGATATACATTTATAAGTGCTTGTGTTGGTATGAGCTCCCATCACGTCTAAATGAAGATACAGACTCGTTCACTTCATTATCATACCGTTAAAGTTGCATCAGCCCAGTGTTATTAATAGTGCTGTGCAGAAAGAGAAATCAAAGACTCCCCTCATAAACTCTGAATTAATTTCTCAGACCTCCTCCTGGTAGAGTAAACCCACACATACAACATCTCTCTCTCTCTCTCTCTCTCTCTCTCACGCGCACACACACACACACACACACACACACACACACAGAGTGCCTAAATTTAAGAACAGAAATATCTCTCTCCTTTTTGCTCTGTTGTTGGTTAGATTCCCATACATAATTTAACAGTTTTAATAAATCTCAGTACTGCAGCATGCTAGTTGAATGTGTGCTGAATAAAGTTACTTTTTCTGAGGACTTTATTGTAATGTTGTAGTGACTTCTATAGCATTCAAAGCAGTGGAAGGCTTCATCAGAAGAGCATATGGTTGTATTATTGCATTCCATTTCTGATTTTCTTCATTCATCTTAATAAGGTTTGCACACACCTTTGAACAGTAGTTCAGAATCTCCCTGCTAAAAGAGAGAGAGAGAGAAAGGGGGTTATTGTGTCTTTTGATCACTTGTCGTGCAGATGGAGGCTTTCTATATGACTCTGGTGAAGGAGAGATCAAGGTTATGCTGTTTTGTTGGCTGTTTTGTGTAGAGAGTGAAATACTTTCAGTTCATTCAGTTCCTGTGTGTTTTATGCCTTAAATTCAATAAATATGTATGTGAGGTGTGTGCTGTTTTTCCCTTTTGAAGTGAATTTCAATGTTGTAAATTTAATTGGGGCATGCGTATCTTTTCCCTTATTACCTAGGATGAATTTCATTGTATCATACAATTTTATTGCATATTTTTTTCCCCCTGAGATCCATCTATAATGTTAATCATATTTTATTTTACCTTTTGACTGTTTAAACAGGCAGTTTTTTTGCTTCTGTGCCTTTAAGCCACCTGAAATGAGTAACAAGCTGAGGGTTTGCTGTCATATCCAATATATTTGGCACTGCCTCATCCTGCATCACATTGTTTTAGGTAAACGTGTCCCTCAGACTGTCGAAGTTGAATTGATGTGATGTTTTTAGTGGATAATCTTTTTTGAGCTCTGAAATCTCAAAAGATCACAGAAAACTTGATTTTTCTTGACACATTTAAAGTCTTTCTGGTATACAAACAGCTCCCTGAACACTCCCTACATCTGCCATTGGTCGCTCAAACAGATAGCCCCGCCCCAAACTCACATCATTGGTTGAGCAAACTCTGTGATAGTGTTTATACTTTTCACTGAAATTAACCTAAGAATGGCTGAGAAAATACTTTAACATTGAAAAAATATTGTGTTGTAACAGTTTAAATTTTTTTATTTACAGGATTCTACGGTAAAAGCTGTATGGATGCATGTCAGCTGAACCCATGTGAAAATCAAGCAAAGTGTCACAGGAAGCCCAGCTCCTCGCATGGATATATTTGTGACTGTGAGGACAATCACTATGGACAGTACTGCCAACACAGGTATACATTAATACACACCACATGTATGCACAATTACATGAGCACAAATGAACACACACATCACTACTGAATCATTACATGTGCTGAAAAAGGATTTTTTATTTATTTATATAGTATATATTGTTTTTGTCCTGCTCAGTAGCAATATCTAAACATAGTTAAAAGAAGATATATATAAATAATAAATAATCATTTTTTATAGTTAGTTTTAATCAGAAATCGAACTGAATTTAGTCAGGGTTATACCTGACAAAAATTCTAATATGGTACAAAAAATAATTTACTTCAAGTTATAGTTTGTTTTTATATAGTTATATATAGTTTGTTTTTATCTTACATAATTTTGCTTTTCAAAAAAAAAAAAAAAGCATTTTTTGTTATTAGGCTGTTTTTGCTGGGAAACCAGACAAAAATACTGGAAAAAAAGTATTTCCGCTTTATGCCTTATTTGTCCTGTAGCCCAGTTACTTTTATTCTGACTATAATCTCTAATAAATAGACAAGCAAAATGTACCAGTAAGATAATACAGTGAGAGATGGACAAAGACTTTATTGATGCCTTCAAGTTATAGTTTGTTTTTATATAGTTATATATAGTTTGTTTTTATCTTACATAATTTTGCTTTTCAAAAAAAAAAAAAAAGCATTTTTTGTTATTAGGCTGTTTTTGCTGGGAAACCAGACAAAAATACTGGAAAAAAAGTATTTCCGCTTTATGCCTTATTTGTCCTGTAGCCCAGTTACTTTTATTCTGACTATAATCTCTAATAAGTTGACAAGCAAAATGTACCAGTAAGATAATACAGTGAGAGATGGACAAAGACTTTATTGATGCATTCACATTTACGGCTGAATTTGTGTGCATGTGTGAGAGTTTTCTGTCACACTAATCCAGTGTTCAAAGCTTATCTGAAAGACTGGATGCGTATGGCGAATAAGTTTGTGTTCATGTTAATGATGCATTTGTTCTTAGCCGCATGTATGCGTGTGTGCTTAAGGTTTGCTGGCTTTGAACGGATGAAAGTAGACTTAAGTTTACCGACAGACTGTGACTCATGTGACCCTAATTCATCCCCTACCTCAAACTCACACGCGCTCAGCCAAATCCTTCACAACAGCGGCAATCTCATCTGCTCTCATTTATCTGTTGGCTCCATCTCTCTCTCTCTCTCTGTGTGTGTCACGCTGTCTAGCTCTCCATGTCAGATCTACCCTAGATACATAGGTATTTGATAAAATCTAACTGTGTGTGTGTGTGTTTGTAGGGTTGAGCAGCAATGTCCTCGTGGTTGGTGGGGCAGCCCGACATGTGGACCCTGCCACTGTGAAGCCAGTAAAAGCTTTGACACCGACTGCAATAAGACCACTGGACACTGCCACTGCAAGGTACATGCATATTGTTATACTGTATGTTAAATGAGTAGGACATCCCAAAAAATTAAATAAATGAATAAAATCACAGATTCACATCAGACATGTGCACTACCGTTTAAAAGTTTGGGATTGGGATCTCTTATGCTCACCAAGGCTGCATTTATTTGATCAAAAACAGTAATATTGTATTACAATTTAAAACTGTTTTCTATTTTAATGATGACAAAGCTGAATTTTCATCAGCCATTACTCCAGTCTTCAGTGTCACATGATCCTTCAGAAATCATTCTAATATGTTGACTTAGTGCTTAAGAACATTTCTTATTTTCAATGTTGAATCTGTATAACTGATTGGTCTGCTGGTTTTGATACCTAAACCCTCTTAAAGTTCCTGTAACATAAGACAAGGCAAGCACAAGTGTACTCTATACAGTCTATACCATAAGAACACAAACATACTGTTTCAGTATAAGGATCAGCAGTTACAGTAAAACTGTCCAACAACCAGCAGCTTCATAAACATGCGGAGCGTTATGCTTCATGTTCCTGACCTTCTCAGAGTTTCAGGAGAGTAAAAACAGAGTTTCTCAGGATCAGCCTGTGGTGAATCGACAATGCATTTTTAGCAGTTAGAGCTTTTTAGACACACATTTTACATTTAATAGGCACATTTACTTTATTTTCAATTTTATTATTAAAACAGTATATAGAGTATACAAAATAATGGAGAGGTTAGTGAGAACAGGAATTGGAGATTGTGTGAGTTTCCTGGCAAAGCACCACAGCTTTAAATTGAAATCCTCATTTGTACAACTACAGGTATTTTAGGTTATGAAGTTGCACAAATTTCTCTTAATAGTAGCATGTTATATCGCACTTTCCTGTATAGGCCTACCATATGCATTTTGCCAGTATGTACAGATTATACCTTCCAGTCTTTAAACTGTTATAGTCAAATTCACACATGTTCTTTTGATTTGGTACTATTTATAGGAGTGAATGCCCACATGTTTATATAGAATTGTTCATACAGTATAGCTGGTCTGGGAAGTGTTAATTGGTTTGTGTGTGTGTGTGTTTAAGTGTAATTAAGAGATTAGAGAAATGTGTTCCTCACTCTGGAGTGCTATAATAAAGCTTTACTCACCCTCTCGCTGTACATCAGGCTTTTGATTATCTGTATATTACACTCCGATCCCAAAGGAAAACATGAACACACACAATCTTATCAGGCTTTTGAAATATATGAAGGAATTTTGTTTATTATTCTAGCTATTATGTTATAATCACTATGCTTTGTGATTTTTATCAGTTTGTGTTGAAAATGCATGTGTTAATATGGATGTTTTTGTGTGTGTCAGGAGTTTCATTACCGACGGCCGGGCAGTGATGTCTGCCTGCCATGTGATTGCTATCCAGTGGGCTCCTTCTCAAGGTCATGTGACCCCGAGAGCGGCCAGTGCCAGTGCCGACCTGGAGTGATTGGCAGACAGTGTAACATGTGTGACAATCCATTTGCTGAGGTCACACAAACAGGCTGTGAAGGTACAGTAAATACCCCTTCATCCAACTGTTAATCTTTCCATGTTCTCTCCACAATCGTTAATCATTTCCTCACCCGCTTTTCTTAGTAATCTATGATGGCTGTCCGAAGACCATAACATCAGCAATCTGGTGGCCCAGAACAAAGTTCAACCTGCCTGCTGCTGTCCCCTGTCCCAAAGGATCAGTTGGTGAGTGAGTGAGTGAGTGTGTAGATTCACATCTGTGTCTTTTATGTGTCTTTTTTGAAGTCCATCTAATGCATTCGTTCATCTCTTTTTCCAAGGAACTGCGATTCGGCACTGTGATGGAGAGAGAGGATGGCTCGACCCTGATCTGTACAACTGCACCTCTCCTCCTTTTGTGGAGCTAAACACAGCCGTGAGAAACTATACCGCCACATTTACTATCCATTTACTATATTGAAGCCTGTTGCATACATTTTTTGCCAAAACTTTTTCTGGGTTCCTACACTGAAGATTTTGCATGGATTGATATTAAAATTATGTACAATTGTCAATATTTATTTTCCTGTTAGAGCTCAATAATATAGAATTGGTTAAATAACCAATAAATAATATATTAACCAATGAATAATGCTTTCTATAGTGTATATGTATATATATAATATTATTAAAGTGCCATTTTAAAGTGAATTTTGGCATTTTAACATTAAAAATACATATTCATTTTGATTTGATTTTACATTTATTTAATTTTAGATTAACAACAGTCTTATTAAATTATTATTTTTTTATTTAATTTTATTTGAGTATGACGTGTTGTGACGGCAAAGCTAATGTAAAATGTAAATATAGCAGAAATTAGCTGAATTGAATTGAATATGTCAACACAGGATGAGTGAAACAGGCCTAAGATCCATAACTTTCACACAGTATTGGAGATGCTTGTCTATGTTACATAACCATTTTTTCAATGTGTGTGTGTGTAGCTGGAGGCTTTAGAAAGAAATGAGACAGAACTCAACACCATCATTGAGAAAAAACTGGCCCATCAGCTTCGTGATGTCACAGAGGCAACAACCCGTCTCTATGGCAATGACCTTCAGATAGCCGAGAGGCTGCTGTCTCGCCTCCTGACCTTTGAGAGCCTCCAGTCAGGCTTCGGTTTGACAGCTACTCAGGATGCACATTTCAATGAGGTGTGTATTACCTTAGGGAACTGATGAATAGCTGGAAATTTGACATTCAGATTTGATTGAGCTTGACAAGACTAGTTGATTAACGTCTTGCTTTGGTCTGTCTCTCTCTGCAGAATGTGTTGCGAGGCTGTAGTGTTTTGTTGGGTCCGGGCAGTGCTGCGTTGTGGAGGGGTCAAAGTTCAGGTCCGACTGGAGCGGCGGGATTGGCCGATCTGTTGGAGCAGTACGCCCGCATACTCGCCCAGAACATGAAACAGACCTACCTCAATCCTGTGGCACTCGTCGCCCCAAACATCGGTCAGCATTAATACACAACAAACACATACAGAAGAAATAATTACTTTTAATTGATTTTTAGATTCTTATTTTTATATAAAAAAAATCTGTTTCAAATAAATGCTGTTCTTAATCAAAGAAAATACAGATCATAATAGGACGTGTTACTCGTCCAGCAAATAAGCATCAGCATCTTAGAATGATTTCTGATGGGTTTTGAGGGAGTGAAAAGAGCAATGTCAGCCTCAAATTAACTTGACCGACCTCTGAAAATTGATTTCAGATAAAATGCGTTTCATTGAAACAGTCTTTGACGCATTTCTGTTGATTTATTTATATTTTGTTCATGAAGGATATTTAAATATCAATCAAAAAAAAAAATCTTAGTAAATTTTATTTAATCATTAAATGATTTGTTGATTCTTTTTTTTACTGTGATGGGCATAATACTTATTAATAATTATATTACTTATAATATATTACTTGTATTTTATATATTTTTGTGTATTTTATTTTTTATGTTTTTTAATAAAATAATGGGTGGCATATTAAGTTGCTTCAATACAGTATATATTCATTTTGTTTGTGACAAGCATAGCATAGAGAGTGTCTTAGTCAGCTGATGGTGGGAAAAGTAAATATTGGAAATAACCTGTCATGTGCAGTGTGAAGTGAAGTTGAGAAAGATCAATGTGAGACTAACACCTGCAGTGTGCACCTCCGGCAGGATCAGCAAGAAAAATGGCAGCACTACAGAGAGCAGATCTATTAAAAGAATCCTGTAGTTCACACAATGTGTGTGTTTGTATTTTGCAGTCATGACTCTGGATCGCGTTGACAACCACACACATGTGCGGCGACGATTTCCACGGTATCACAGTACTCTGTTCCGAGGTCAAGTGCTTTGGGACGCTCACACACATGTTGTGCTGCCCCCTACTGCACTAGTGTCACAGCGCAACTTCTGTAAGTATCACATGTATACACTCTTTAAACCCATTTACAAGGCTTAAAAGCATTGAGCAATAAATCTGTGTTTAGTTTCAGCTCCATCTCCTGCTGGCCCTGTGAACCTGTTGGCCAATCAGACGTTAGAAGCAACAGCAGCGCGGCGTTCTTTGTCACTGCAAGAGGCGCCGGTCTCCATTGTCATCCTCCTTATTTATCGAAGCCTAGGGGCCGCACTTCCCCCTAAATACCACACAGACCGTCGCGGCGTCAGGTTAGAAAGAGATAAACGCCACACGGATCACTGTGATCTGTGAGTGTGATTGTCTTTCTAACAATGCGTGTGCATCTCTGCAGGTTACCCAGACACCCTGTGTTGAACTCGCCTGTAGTGAGTGTTTCTGTGTACAATAACCAGACATTCGTGGAGGGTTTTCTGGACACTCCGGTCCTGCTGGAGTTTCGTCTTCTGGAGACCAGCAACCGCAGCAAACCACTGTGTGTGCAGTGGAATCACAGCAGCCCGTAAGTCTGTGTGCGCTGTCTTTGTTTACTCAATTTCATGTCTCAAGGACAATCAAAACCACTATTAAAGGAATAGTTCACCTCAGAAATGAACATTTTGTCATCATTTATTCACCCTCATGTCGTTCCAAACCTGTGTACTTTTCTTCCTTATGTTGAACGCAAAAGAAGATTTTGATGGTATTCAAACAGTTGTTGGTCCCCATTAACTTCCATAGTAGGGAAAGAAATACTATGGAAGTCAATGGGGACCATCAACTGTTTGAGTAAAAGCATTCTTCAAAATATCTTCTTTTATGTTCAACATAAAAAGAAACTTATACAGGTTTGGAACGACATAGGGGTGAGGAAATGATGACAAAATTGTCATTTTTGTGAGAACTATCCCTTTAAAGCACCATCGGTTGACCAAACCATTACATTACACTGCTGGTCAAAAGTTTGGAATAATTAAGACTTCATTCTAATATGCTGTTTTGGTGCTCAATTATTAATAATGGTTCTTATTATTATCAATTTTTTTAAACAGTTAATACAACTGTTTTAATGTTTTCGTGGAAACCGTGATACCTTTTTTCAGGATTCTTTGATAAAGAAGAAAAACAGCATTTATTTGACATTAAAATCTGTACTGTCGCAATCATGTGATCAGTTCTTTTTCTTTGTTTTAAAACAGCTTTGTTTATTTTCCATTCTGAATAAAAAAAGTCCCAGATTTTTAAAGTGGTCTCAGACGCTTAGAGCCCACTTTATATTTTAAAGCTTTTATAAAGGCAAGTGTAACAGCAGGTATTAAAGATCATGAATAGTTCAGCAGAAAGCGAGCTGATTGTCAGGATAAAGCACTTGGCAGCTTGAATATGATTTGTCATTCAGAAACTGACATTTCAGCCATTAGCGCAACATGGTACAAAAGCCACTGATACTACGCAGCGAGCTGGGAACCAGACGTTATTAAACACTTTTCTTGACAGACGCTCTCTCTGTATCTCTCTCGTCCTCAGACAGACACTCACACATTAATTCTCTTTCTAAAGCAGGTTAACACCATTTTTAACAGACGTTATTCTCAGGAGTGCAAACCACTCACACTAAAAGCCTGTTACTGCTGAGTTAATTAATTTCAACCGCTGTACTGGGATGTGGTTGTGTTTGTGATAGAGTATGTGTTCATTCATAATTCATCATCTCTCTCGAACATTGACTTTGCTGGCATGTATTGATTTTAGACCTTAGATTCTGTTTTTTGGACATGTACTGCAGATAGCATTCAGAAAGTGGTGGGAATGAGATCAGGAAATGGTTTAAGCAGGATTTGAACTCACAACACCCAACTGAGCACCACATCTCAATAAGTCAGAACACATGTGCAAACAACAAAGCCACAGCGTCTCCCACTTTTATCAGGCCAAGAACACAATAGAAAGAAATATTATTTTAATGTAGTATAAAACTAATGTTTTTTTATACATGCAATATGCTGTTATTGTCTATTCTCTGGTCTAACTGGTTCATTCAGTCTAATTCTCTTTGATTGGTGCAGTTCCTGTGTACGGTGGTTGCGATTCTGCTCCATTACTTCTTTATGTCGGCATTTGCGTGGCTGTTCGTGGAAGCTCTTCATATTTACCGTATGCAAACAGAAGCGAGAAACATCAACTATGGAGCAATGAGATTCTACTATGCTATTGGCTGGGGAGTCCCTGCTATCATTACAGGTGTGTAAACACACACACACAGACACACATGTGTACTTTCAGGCAGTTATGCTCTGTGACATATATGTGTGTTGCAGGGTTGGCAGTTGGGTTGGATCCAGAGGGGTATGGCAACCCAGATTTCTGCTGGATCTCCATGTACGATAAGCTCATGTGGAGCTTTGCAGGACCAGTTAGCGTCGTCATCCTGGTATTTTGCTCTTCAGTGTGTTTGTGTTGTTTGTGCCATTTATGTGTTTTTATGTGTCTTTGTAATTTTCTATCTGGATGTGTGAAGTACTGCAATGATTGTCTAAACTGACAAATCTCTCTCTGTTTACAGATGAATGGTGGGATGTTTTTAATGGTCCTGCGTATGACATGTAACCCCACTCAGAAGGAGATAAAGAAGCTGCCCGTGATGTGAGTACAACATGCATGTGTTCAGGAACAATCAATTTGGAAAGTGTGAGGGGAAACTTGAATAATGAATATTATTTAGGTGACCCCAAAAAATGAAAATTCTGTCATCATTTACTCACCTTCAAATTGTTCCAAACCTGTATGAATTTCTTTCTTATACTAAAAACAAAAGAAGATGTTTTAAAACCAAAGTGAGCATTTTTTCTTTAATCCCGATGTTTTTAATGGTCCTGCGTATGACATGTAACCCCACTCAGAAGGAGATAAAGAAGCTGCCCATGATGTGAGTACAACATGCATGTGTTCAGGAACAATCAATTTGGAAAGTGTGAGGGGAAACTTGAAAATTTATCATCATGAATATTATTTAGGTGACCCCAAAAAATGAAAATTCTGTCATCATTTACTCACCTTCAAATTGTTCCAAACCTGTATGAATTTCTTTCTTATACTAAAAACAAAAGAAGATGTTTTAAAACCAAAGTGAGCATTTTTTCTTTAATCCCCAACCAAAAATTATTATATTATATTATATTATATTATATTATATTATAGTGAATTTATGACTTTTCGCCTCTTTATTCTACATTAATTCCTTTTATTCTATTTCTCTCTCTCTATCTCTCAGTTCTACTATCCGCAGTGCCTTCCTCCTGTTAATATTGAGTACATGTGTTTGGTTGTTTGGCCTTATGGCTGTTAATAACAGTGTCCTGGCGTTCCACTACCTGTTCATTGTCCTCTGTTGCGTACAGGTAAGTGTGCACTGGCTCTTACTCATCTCTTTCTTTTGTGTGTGTTTGTCATTGTCATTTTTGCATTTTTTACCCTGTACACTTTGATAGTTGTGTTCTACATAATGTAGTGTAATGTTATTCTCCTACTCACGTGTCTCAGGGATTGGCTGTACTGTTGGTTTTTACTATCCTGAACTCTGAGGTGCAGGAGGCCTGGAAACTGGCCTGTCTGGGCAAGAAAAGCCCCAGTGAAGAAGCTCCCAGACCTCCACAGATCACAGTTAGTCAACACAAACATACATATTATCATATGACCCCCGACACATGCACAGTTTTACACAAACATCTTTAACACAAACCCATATTTGACCTCACGGAGTGAAAATGAGCATGTGGATTTGTAACCTGCTGTATGTGTGCAGGGCCAAAATCCATACAACAGCGCCTCCCTGCTGGAGCAGAGCGGATTACACCGGATCACACTCGGAGCTTCTACCATCTCATCAGTCAGCAGTGCCAGGTCTGTCAACACATCAATTTCAGATTCACAATTCTTAAAATGATGTTGTATACCTAAAAATAAGCACATTTGAAAATAAATAAGGTATAATATGTATAGGAAAAATATTGGTGATATTTTAAAATAAGGTGTGATGAACTAACAATGAACTACGTATTTTACTGTTTTTTTTTTTTTTACTATGCTATGTTATTATAAATATATATTAATTGTTAATAAATGTTATAAATATGTTCATTGTTAATTCATAAAAAATTTTGTCATTTAAATTTATGTAAAGTTTTATAGCTGTATTATACTATTATACTATTCACTCAAATTCTTATGCTTATAATATACACTACTGTTTGGGGTTAGTGAGATTTGTTTATTTATTTATTTTAATTAATTATTTTATTCATTTATGCATTTAAATTGATCAAAAGTGACAGTAAAGACTTTCGCAAGAAATCTGTTTCAAATAAATGATGTTCCACCAAAATAAATGTTTTTGATCGCCAAATCAGCATATTAGAATGACTTTGAAGGATCATGTGACACTGAAGACTGGAGCCATGGCTGCTGACAATTTAGCATTGCCATCACAAGAAAAAAAATACATTTTAAAATATATTCAAATAGAAAACAGTTATATAAATTGTAATAATATTTTACAATATTACTGTATTTACCATATTTTTGACCAAATAAATGCAGCCTTGATGAGCATAACAGTTCTTCCAACAACATAATAAAATAAATAAATAACTAGAGACCACATACTTTTGAGCCGTGTATTTTGTAATAAAACAACTGTAGATTGTATATCACTTTCTTATTTTAATATTGTACATTATACATCATTTGTAAGCTGAACTGTGAAAACATGTACAAATTTGTAGACATTTTTGTTGACTACCTACTGTATGTAGTATCCATATGTAGCAAACTGAAAGCCTGAAAGTTGGCGTATATGTTTTTCTCAGGGAGAATCTCTTGGCACGGCAGACTCTAGAACACACTCTTGGTCACACAGGGGCCACTGACCTGGACGTGGCAATGTTTCACCGCAACGGAGGTACACTAGCACACAATAACCTGCATGCATGTACGTATTCACACTTACACACACTCCTTAACTGCTCGCTGGTCATTCTTTACTTGTCAAATTCAAGTGTTTGTGACCGTCATGTCAGAATTAGTGTCATTTAGTTCATCTATTCTTCTGTTTGTCTGTCAGGTGAGGACTCAGACTCAGATTCTGATCTCTCACTGGAAGAGGAGCGGAGTTTGTCCATCCCATCATCAGAGAGCGAGGACAATGTGCGGCTGCGTGGACGCATCCAGCGGCGCTTCAAACGGTCCGGTCAAGGCAAACGTTTACTCACAGAGCCCACACACAACGGTGGAAAAGGTACCAAAACTATTGTTGCAGTTGTCTATGTCACTGTTATTGAAGCCAGAGGAGTGCAGAAAGTTAGTTTCATTCTTAATTTTGTGATACCCAACTGTTAGTGTATGGAATTGTTTATGTGTCAGATCTGGATGGCAATGACCTGCTCTCCTATTGGCCAGCGCTGGAAGGCTGCGAGGCACACTCACTGCAGAAATGGGGCTCAGAGCGCCGCCTAGGGGGCGACTACAGCAAGGACGCAGCTAATAACAACCAGCCAGATGCAGCGCTGACCAGCGGAGATGAGAACGGACTCACACACAGACACCGCAAGGGTGAGGCACACATTCATTCAAAATGTTATCCAATATTGGCCAATAACAATACATTATGATATTTAATTGTGCATGTTTATTCCTTCTGTTTTTGCATTTAGATGCTGTCATCTAATGCTCACATAGAGTTAATCTTTAAAAACAAATTAAACAATGCTACACTATACTGGCTATTGGCTGATATCTGGGTTATTATTGATATTATTATAGTTAACTAAAACGAAATTCATAGCAAGTGATGAAAAAAAAATTACATAAAAATGAACTGAAATAAAATATTTAAAAACATTAAACTTATTTTTCAGCTAGTTTCGTACGCAACATTTAATATTTTCATTAGTTTAACTTGATATATTAAAATTACTAAAACTGCAATAAATATTAATAAAACTATGCTGACATGTTTAAAAATATATATACATAAATACACAAAAATACACAGCTCCAGTTACTAAAACTTTAACTAAAATTTAAATAAAAACAGGAAATATAAAAATAAAAACTAATTGAAAATATTAATAAAACCTATAACACTATCTCAGTGATACTAAAATAACACTGGCCAATATTAAATATTTAATACTTAATAATTTATTGACTTATTTCCCCTATTTTTATTTTTTAGATTATTTTTCCATCATCTAACACTTACTTAAAGTTAGTATTTAAAATTTTATGACACTTTTAAATTTTTTGTTTTAGCTTTTAGTGTTTTACAGTATTTTTAATTGATTTAGAAATATTTGTAATTTCATTAAATTTTTATTAAGAAAATATTTTAGAAATAAAATATTAATAAAATAGTATAAATTATATAAATTCTGTACATCTTATTTGCATGAAAATAGTTATTGGCTTATTGCTATTTTCATGTATTGACAGAATTTTAATATCGGTGCATAGAAAGCCGTACTAAACCCCTCTGCATCCATTTCTCAGGAATCCTGAAGAATCGTCTGGGATGCCCTCCTGCTCTGCAGGGCCTGTCTGCCGTGGGTCGGGCTCCCAGCGAGATGTCTTGGTACAGGACCTCAACATTGGGTCACAGAGGTGTCCCAGCTGCCTCCTACGGTCGTATGTACTCCGGCACTGGCTCGCTGTCCCAACCTGCTTCCCGATACTCTTCCCGTGAACACCTGGATTCTCTTGCGCGTCACCAGCGTTCTCGGGACAACCTCGACCTGTTGCCGAGACGACGCGAGCTTGGTGCCGAACTGTTTTATATTACGTTATGCGTGCTTTATTATATTGTTATATTTAACAATATAAATAATATTTTATATTATTTACACTTTTACTTGGAGCATCTTGGAGACGTTGCCACAGATCTTCTGGATTTAGTCTGTCTCAGTTTCTTCATGTCATTCCAGACATACTGGATGATGGTGAAATCAGATCTCTGTGTGGAGCACTAGGAACCCCAGGAAACCCTGCCCTCTCGCCGCGGTCGCCTAGACTCCGCACCCCCATGTAGGTACCCGCCATCTGCAGCTGCACCTGGAGCTCCATCCAGTCGCCCGCCCTCTAGTGAACATCTGGATATCCTCTCCTCCATACTCGCCTCCTTCAGCTCCTCTGTCTTAACCCTGCCCCCTAACCCTGTCTCTGCCTTGGCAGGCCCCTCCCCTTCCCCGCCTCCTCTCTCTGCAACCTCTCAGAGCGTCTCTGAAGTGTCACCTGACTCTGAGTAAGTCCAGCCCCTGTTTTGTCTCCTCTTGTATTCCTCATTTGTTTCATGGTCATCCTTGGTTCTGTTCAGTTACAAAATGTCAAAGCTGCTCTTTTCCATACAGAAAAACGCATGGTGATCCGTTGCAAATTTTGTGTGGTTTACTTTTTTGCTGTTTTAATTTTTTGAAAAAAACATGAAACATGAAAATTGCTATTAAAAATAAAAACATCCTAAACAAAATAAATATATAAATTAGAAAATATTAATGTGTGTGTGTGTATGTGGACAGCATAACATTATTAAAATAATTAATTAGTTAAAATAAATAATTAGTTTTTTATTAAAATAGTCCTATTTTTTAGCTGGTGAAAATACTAGTGTTCTAATTATTTTGGCCACCATTGTATATAAATGAAAGATATAAATATGTAATAAAAATAGCACTAAGTGAGCTACCACTGGTGCCCCTTCAAAAATATTATGTACAGGATGACATTATTGACAATTTTCCTGTTCTGTCTTTTTATTTTTTCTCTTTGTAGAGTTAACAGAAGTGATGGACAATCTTGATGATTCCTTCGCAGTCCCATAATGCACCTCTGCAGATGGGCTCAAGAATCACAGGACATAGCCAACCGGAGCGTTCAGGACTCCTACTGTACTTCACCCTGGGAAAAGCATAGGACATGAGAGTGAAGTTGTTCATCAAGGGCTTGAGACATCACCCTCCTGAGAACAGACAGGAAATCAAACCAGAGAAGGTGATGATTTCTATGATTTTCAATTAATCCAAACTACAAACCTCAGATTTCAGACCAACAGCTGAGAGGACTGGTCAGAGACAGAGAGAGAGAGGGGAAAAAAAACTGTAAAGAACATTTTTATACTTTTTGTATCTTTTTCATCAAAGATCAAAGAAGAAAAATCTCTAGTGATGTTTTTGAAGATTGTGTGGATATGTGTTTAAGTGGGTAGGATCGAAAAAAAATCATTTTCAAACCCATTCCGAGCCAAAACAGTCCCAAACATTCCCAATCTTTCCACTCCAACATGTGTTTATGCAACAAGCCACACCCACTGATAGACCGGAGAGAGTCTACGAAGAAAAGGATCGGTCCGTGTAAATGCAGAACTTATTGGCCCAAACATGGGATTGGTGGGAAACTCCAGAGACAGTGATTGTAATTATAAAGAATTATTAAACAGAAGATATGTTTGGACCATAATGATTGTCAGTCAATGGATTGTTTTCAGACAGGTGACTTGATTGGAAGATTTTAGCTTGATCTAAACACATTTCTTCAACAAACCCCAACTCAAATCTTCTCAGCTATTCAGGAGAAGATATTTAATCCATCTTTGATTTCTTTTCTAACAAAGAGAGCATATCTAAATATCAGTCATTATTGTCTCTGTGGAGTATTGAATAACCTTAGTGCTTCAGAGGAAGGAACATTGTAAAATGAGCTAAATACAACCATTAAGGTGAGATGATTTCAAAATATCAAGCTCCTGTTTAAAAGGGAAATCGTGCTTCATCATATGACTTTATCTCTTTAGTCATTTGCAGTATTACCATGAGTTTTGCCAAAAAGAGTGCCCTATATCATTCCTTTTATACCTCTTACCTGTCATAAAGTGCTCCAGTACTTTTTCTATTCATGGTTTTATATTTTATTTATTACTGCATAACTTTATCTTGTACAGACATTAAATTAATTTATTTTATTTATTAATATTTATTGAAATTCATTTCTCTACCATAATCGTTGCTGGAGTGTTTATAAAGAAGTGCGTATGGGAGTTTTTTTGTTTTTTTTTATAAGAGCGAGATTTCATCTGTTTCAAATTTTTATGTGTGAAAACTTTTGTACATGTATCGTCTGATATGTCCCCCTTCTCTTCTGTTCACAATGCATTCTGGTAAAAGAAATGTCCTCTGTCCATCAGAGAGAGAGAGAGAGCGGTAGAAGACAATGATTGGGTGGGAGAGAGAAAAGGGGAATGTATAATGGCTCAACATGTTTAATATGGGACATTTTGTATCTCTTTTACTTATGGGGGTGTTCAGAAAAAAAATCTGCTACCGATGGGAGAGGAAAGTGAGACCCGTTGGGCGTCAATAAAAGAGTTATTGCTACCATGTTTCTGTATGTTTTTTTTTTTTTTTTTGGAATTTTCAAGACAAACACTTCTATGGTTAAAAAAAATGTAACTTGTTTATCACATTACACATTTTTCTGAATTTCAGTCAAATCAAATGAAATTACATCTACATGTAAATTTTACATCTGCTTTTACAGTGGAAGGTTCTCACTAGTTTAATTCAGTCTAACATTCTGTTTCACTGGTTTACACACTCAATTTCCAGTCTACTGTTGTAACATTCCTTAAAAGACAGTTCATATGAAATGAAAGTATCGTTTACTCACCCTCATGTTGTTCCAAACCTGTATGACTTTATTTCATACAACATGGAACAAAGGTTTGGAACATAACGAGGGTAAGAAAATGATGACAGAATTTCCATTTTAGGAAAAATTTCCATTTTCATATTTTGAAAAAGAACAAAGTATTCTGTTCCCAAACACTGTATACTAACACAAGTAAATCAACAACACTGAACTAACTTCAAGCACTCCATGAGTAGGAAGTCACTTTAAGAGAAGCACTTATTTACCTGAAAAAAACCTGCATAGTATAAATGAGCTACGGTGAACTGAATCTAAAGGTTGGTCCTGAAGACGCTGTCCTAAAACAGTCAGATGAGTTGTATCCAAGGCTAGATTATGGACTGGTAATGACCCCTGAAATGTTTTCCACACATGGAGGTTGCAATGTTGTATCTTCTGTGTTTTCTCACCTCATATTTGCAGTGTAATTTCTTACCACAGTCATTTTTAATGTTTGTAATGTAATGCATATAACATCAAACAGGGGCCTTGGAGAACCTTAATCAATCCTTGGTTTGATCCACAAGCATTAAATTAAAATGCTATACAGTAACATTAGAAATCTAATTTCCTCTTCTCATCAAGCACAAGTATCAGGACTAAACATCTCCTCACTGCTCAGCTCTGGCCTGTTTTTGCATTCCACTGCGCTGCTTTTCCATTGTTAACATGCACTAGATGGACGTGTTCGACTATTGCACTCCAATTTCTCATTTGGAATACTTCCCTAACATAAGATTTTCGGTTGTTTTTGTTATATGATATCACTTAAACACAAGACCCAGATAGACACAGTGCATGATAAACATTCACTCTTTTAAGCAAATTAAATTAATTAACAGGTCAAAGAAATTACATTTACATTATAATAAAACCTTACAGGCTTGTAAAAAATGGTAAATTAGCTTTTATGTTGATAATTTTACTCATGTAAAACAAATGCTAGCATTGCATAGTATTGTTTATCCTCTGCAAATTGGATGCTAAAAGACTTCTTTGTTGACAATTGTGACGCTAACATTAGCATTACGATTAGATTTTTTATATGTCATGATCTAAGTCTGTCGGACTATGGAGCGCCTTTAAAAAGATAGTTCATCCAAAAAAAAAAAGAGAAAATTCTGTTGTCATTTACTTCTCCTTTTGTCTCTCCAAACATGTATGACTTTACTTTCTTCTGCAGAACACAAAAGAAGATATTTTGAGAAATAGTTCAACTGTTTTCAACAGCACTGGACCCATTTACTTCTATTGCATGGACAAAAAAAAAAACTGAGGCATTTTTCAAAATACCTTCTTTTGTGTTGCACAGTAGAAAGTAAGTCACACAGTTTGGAGCAATATGAGGGTGACTAAATTATGAATTTCAATTTTCAGGTGAATTATCCCTTTAACTATCCCACTTTTGACTGAATGGAATGCAGCATCAGTGTTGATGAGAGAGAGAATATGAAAGGAAATCAGATTTGTATTAGCTATTGGAACAAAGCCTGCTCGAGTGAATTCCCCCCTCCGTATGATACACATGGTACATTCCTAAACACCAATTAAGTTTAGTCCACAATAAAAAATATATTGTTTTGTAAATAAACAGAGAATAAAAAATGACTTTCAAAAAGAAAGCAAACATAGCTAAGATGCCATAAACATCTGAGTTCAAGTCTGTAGATATTCGTTATCCTCGCTGTCACTACTGGAAGGTGGAGGATCTGCGCCGATCTTCCGTAGTTTGGCTTGATAATATCTCTTCTTGGCCCGCGCCGCCTTCTCTTTTTGTCTCACTGCTTTCCTCTTCTCCTCCCACACACACTGCTGCAGCAGTAACAGACTCATCGTCTGCTGATGCTCCAGCTCAAATAGTTCCTGTCGACGTGCCTCCCATTTCGAGTTTGAGGTATAATGGGAGTCCATTGGCGGTAATGAATTCTCAACTGCTCCTCCGGCAGGAGCACGTGGCACCACAGACTCTCTGTGTGGGGTTTCAAAGTTTGAACCCCTAGTCCCTGATCCCAGTGCTGCATGGGTTGAGTAGATGAGGGAGGGACGGCTGGACCTGGAAGAGAGTGAATGTGAGTGGAGAGGAGAGGAGGCAGTGCCAGGAGGAATCCCAGAGTTAACAGGTGGGTGAGTTGGTGAGATCAATCCAAGTTCAATGGCTAAGTTCTCCTTGCTGTCTACTTCCTGTAAAAAACGAAAGTTTAATAGCATCATAATTGCTGTACATTTATGTAATAAGGCTCAAAGCGGCATTCTATATTGAGAGTATACATGCATGCATTGTACATGCAGTAAACACAGGAAATTTGCAATGAATGCAACACTGGTGAAAATGTATATGCCTAGTGTATGGAACACAGAATATGACAAAAATGACCCTTTTAAAAATGCTATATATATCTTCATATAATAAAAAATCGTTTATATATAGCATATATATGCTTTATAATAAAAAGCAAAATTGTTTTATTTAATAAGAATTTTAAAATGTTTTTTATGTTCACCCAAGCTGCATTTATTTGAGAAAAAATACAGTAAATCAGCAATATTGTGAAATATTATTACAATTTAAAATAACATTTTATTTTTAAATAGTTTACAATGTCATTACTGTGATGGCAAATCTGAATTTTTAGCAGCTACAGTATTACTTCAGTTTTCAGTGTCACATGTTCTTTCAAAAATCATTTTAATATGCTGATTTGATGCTCAAGAAACATTTCATATTAGTATCAATGTTAGAAACAGTTGTGCAGCTTAATATTTTTGTGGAAACTGTTAAAAAATGTTCAGGATTCTTTGATGAATAGAAAGTTCAACAAAACCACATTTATTTATTATAAATGTCTTTACTGTCAATTTCTTTAAAAAAAATCTTACCCAAAACATCTGAATGGTAGTGTATTCAGTATATAATTATAAATTAATATTAATATTTATAAATGAATAAATACATTAATATTACATTTTCACCACATTTCCTGTTTACTGCATGTAAAATGTTAACACTTTACATTATAAAATAATGATGCAAGCAAGTACGCTTTCCATGCCATAAGTTAATCATATTTTTATAATAAAATCTGCAATATAAAAGAAAACGTTTAGCTTAAGAGGTACTTTAGTAATCCTTTTTTCAAGGCTGATTTCAGTCTTACATCATTTTGACTGTGGTCAGCATCTTCATGCTCACTCCCATTAGTGCCTGAAAGCCCCATCACTACAAGAGAGAGAATGACTCAATTAATCTCCTTCCTTGTATAATTACAGAGCTGGCAGCTGGGAAGAGTGGTAGTATTTCATCCTGTAATAGAGATGACATGACTATTAATTACCTGCTCCAGGTGAGCTACCCCTAACCGAGGCATAGCTGCCATCTCCGTCTACCTCCTCCAGACAGGAGATGAGGTTCGGTACCAGGGCAATCACTTCTCTCTGCACCTGACAAGAACCACACACAACCACCCTGTGTGCTACTAGAATTTCCAAAGCATATAACTGAATTATAGAAACATAAGACTTCAGTTTACCTGAGTGAGGGCAGACACAGGAAGCCCGGCTGCCTGCTGTTCCTGTCGCTTCTGCAGCCCAACACGACATTCCACCTTCAGCCGTTTCCACAGTGTCTTCAGAGAGCCGATGCTGCTGGGGGGCCGACTAGGGAACGCCGCATTGAAGGCCTGAACCAGCTCTGCCCATACAGCGTTCCGGTGCACAGTAGTGTTGGTGTCTTTCCGAAAGTCCTGGACTGTGTCCACCACCGCATGGATTCTCCGAAGCAGGAAAAGCTTCTGCTCCAGAGTGAAGTTTGGCATGCGGTACGTCATGGTGGTCAGCATGAGTGTATTTGTGTGTAACTGGGTAAGAAGGCTTATATCGAGGTACTGTGTGTTACTTCATTTGTAGAAAATCTACAAAGTATCGCACTAGTATTATTTTCAACAGAACAGTCTAGTTTGAAAACTTTTACATGGTAACATTTGCAGTATCACAGTGTTAGTTTTTGAGTCTTACACTCCAGCATTACAGGAAGGTGAGGTTGGTTTGGTGTCGTCATGTGCAGTACACTTCCAGAGTTTCAGTTGCAGTGATATGTTAAACTCTGGATGCCACAGGTAAACGGCTTCAGTGTTCAACGAAAATGCATCCGGGAT